ACCTTAAATACAAATGCTAAAAATTGGATTTGTAGTCTTACTATATACAACTTGGAATTTATTTTAAGTAATTTTACTATGTTTTAAATACTAACAGGTTGCTCTCAAGGGAGTGGTAGTTTACATTATGCTCATGGAGACTGTCAGCAAACTCACCTGTTAAAACAAGGTAAGTATAAAGCATTTGAGCTTACTGTTCTTTCCACTTTTCCTGTTGTTAACGTACATTTTTTAAATGTGTAGGAAGAAGCTCCATGGGCACTGGTCTCAGCAGTGGGAAACGTCCTAGTCAGGAGGAGGACATGCAGAGTATCGGTCCTAAAGTCCAGCGACAAAGCACTAATTAGGTAACTATTGTAGAGCTTTATTGCTTGCTTTAATGTAGTGTGTAATCAACATAAATTAAGATAATTTCCAAAATGGAGCTAATCTCTGTTTTCAAACCAGAGAGGCATAAATTTCTCAGTGACTTTTACAAAATCAGTTCTTAGACAAGAGAAATGCATCTGTACAGGACAAAATGATTCACTCATTTTTATGGTCATCTTATTCAGTGACCTTTAAATTTGAAAAGTTTATGAATTTGTGCTCAAGTTTTTTTCTCAGAAAGAGATCTTTTTCATTTTCTTATGTAACCATGATTCTAAAACAAAGTGACTTTTTAATTTTAATGGTAATTTTAGTAGTATTAATATAATCCCTTTATAAACTTTCCCCCAAATCTTTGCCTCTTAAGTCTTTATAATTTTTTTTTCATCTATTGTGATACTTCTGAAATCTAAATTCTTTCTAGTTTAGAAATAGTTTAATTTTTAAAAAATGTTGGCACTTTTGGGAAGTATCAAAAAAGCCATACCTATATTCAGTTCAGTTGGCTATTGAATACTAGTTTGTGAAGTAAATTTATATGAAAAGTATTTATACAGTGCAGTTGCCAGTTTTTAAAGACTTTTGTTTCTTCAGTTATCTTAAACTATCTCCGTTTAAAAAATTATTGCTGGTTTTTTATTGCCAACCTAATTAGACTATATTTTTCTTGAAGGCAATGTCCGTAAACACTCATCAAATTTTTATAATTTAATTCCTTGCAATCAAGCTTTACCTAGTTTTTTTTCCCCTTAAATCACAGAAAACATTCAAGAGGAATACTGTTGCAGCTGAAATTGGTGGGGGAGTTCAATACTGTTTTCAGTTAAATTATTTTAAAATGTTCTTTGATGGAAAGCAGTTGTTTCTAATGACATTTCTGTGGTTTTCAACTTTTTATGAATTTCACATAGGACACATGGTAATTTGTATATAAAGAACTTGGTAAAAGAAGTTGCTTAATGTAAATATAAATAGTCACAATTAGTATAGACCCATCAATATATTTTTGATAATTTTTCATGTATGGTAAAAGTGTAAGTGGCAAAGTGATACTCTGATATAAAAATCAGAGTTTTGAGAGTCAGTGCCGGAAAATAGAAGGTTTTTAGACTTTCTTAAAAGACTTTGTTAAAATTTTCTTGACATCATTGCTCTAACTTTGCACTCTTTGATAATGTTTTAGAAAATGTGTGTAATCAAAATTGGTAGTTGTAGCCTCTGTTAACACAGTATATGTTTTAAAGCTTCATATGTGCCTGTTTTGACCATATTTGTAATAGTATCATGTGTTGTTCTCTGTCTCCCTTTATTTGTTCATTTACAGCCAAAGTGACCTTGTTATTAAAGTATATGCATATATGGAATCTTGTGTACTTTGTGTTGTTTTTTTCTTCTTCTTTTTTAATTTTTTGTTTGTTTTAGGTAAGGAGGAAAGCATTGGTCTGTGAGATGTGATTACAAATTAAATAGATTCTATGAATGTCATCATTCTGAATGAAGGAACAGCTACCATATAGATAGTAAAATAGTATTTTTAAGATTATTCCAAATAAGAATACTGTCTTCCAAATACCTTATACTTTCAAAAATAAAGTTACCTGCAAGAAAGATGTAAAACCAGAGATTTTTTTTTCAAGTAATGGAGATTGTAACCATGAGTTAGTCAGTACAGGGTAACAAGTTAAGAATGTGGGCTCTTAAGTCAGATGCCTGATGACTCTGTCACTCATTAGCTTGAGAATGGGCGCATTATTAACCTTCTATGCTTTCTTTTTTCTCATCTATAGAATAGGGATGAGTGTAGTATCTGCTTCATACTGCATATGAAATGTTCATGACAGTACCTGGCATGTGGTGGGATATACTAGATAAATGTTAGTTACAGGGCTGCCATGCTGTATAGCTTACTGGATCGTGCAGAGCGTAGTCTGCATAACTGTATGCTGCAGCTCTGGTCAGCTGCCATTATTGCCGTTACTATTGTTATATCCTTTTCCTGTCACTAGTAGGCTAATTCTTGCCATTTAGAATTATAACAAGTAGCTTTGTGTTTCTTCATCTTTAGTAGTGATAGATGTTTAGTGTGATAATCATTTAAAGGTAACTCAAGATAAATTTGAGTCAAAAATCCAGAAACAACATATTTTCAGATGACATGCATTTTTAAAAGTATCCTGGCTAATGAGTTATTACTGATCAATAAACTCCACTACTGAAAAAAGAAAAAAAAAAGTGCATTATCTTTTTTCACCATTGTTTATAAGAAGGAATATTTTAGTTGTTTTTCATGACATCTGTACTTCATATCCTACTGTTTGAACCTGTTGGCACTGTACAGAATTGAGAAATCTATATATAGGCTTACAATTTACCATTACCATCCAGAGGAATACAAGATTCAGTTTTTATGAGAATAAATAAGTATTTTAGTAAAAGAACACTATTTTAGCATAGGCACTGCTATTTTACACAGATATGTGATATGTTTTGTTTTATTTTTTTAGGGGTTTTGCGGGGGGAAAGCTTTTTCAATTTAGTCTAAATTGTGACTAAGAAGAATCATGAAGGGGAAAGAGAGGTATCAATGTGCTCCAACAGAGCAGATGAACTATGTCTGAATGTAGTTTTCTCCCCCTAACTATAAGAGTTAGTGTACTAGAAGCCCTGCCTATTGGTGGTCGAGGGATTTAAGACCTTTTATTCATTTAGCAAATACTTCTTGAACTCTTCGAACCAAAAACTGCTAGAACAATTGTATTGAGGGAACCAAGCTTTTGAATGAACCTATGCAAAGTCTTTATGTTCTTCACATTCATTTAAATTAGTAAATTTGGGATATAAAAGACTGATAACAGTATCATTTTTCATTCCTACTAAAAACTTCAGGATCTCCCCACAATTTCAAACATGTTTGTAATTTTCTTATAGATAGTGTGCATATCCTAAATTCTTTCCCCCATTTCTCCATCCAAAATTTTTTTGTCTGATTTTTATGGTCCTATAAGTGTGCTATTTAAATATTTTGAATGAGAAAGGCTTTGGGTAATGTTTAATACAGTTGGCATAGCTAAGTCAGTCAGTTTCAAGTTTTGATTACAATTCACAGGATCATTCGTATTCCCATTTCTCACACAGTTATGTGGGGCCCAGTTAGAGCCTCCGGCAGCACCCTAGTGCCCATCTCTACTCCCTCTCTCCTGACCAGTGATTTCAGCATGCAGCTCTAAGGCCTGAGTTTACATTCCTCAACTTCCTTCTCTCTGTATCTTACTCTAATTCTCTTTTAATAAATGCATGTGAAACACTTAATTTAGTCTGGACCCCAAGTCCTTGTATTTCAGGAAAAAGTGTTCAATAAAACCATGAATAATAAGGTTTTTGTATAAGAGTAACTCAGGGAGGAGGGTTACTGAACTAGCACTCCCCTACCTCATATACATTAGCTACTCAGTTAATTCTAGAATATCCTGGAGATCAAAGTCCATCCGGAGACAAGGAGTCAGGATTCTTGCTGGAATTAAAGTGTGTCAGTCTCTCTCAACAAAGCCTACTGAGCACAAATTGGGTACCAAGGCTATACTCGAAGATTTAATTAGCATTTCCCGAGTCCCTACCATGTGCCAAGTATTGTTCATAGGAAAATAAATTCATCAGTATCCTCAGGAAGTCAACTCCACAAGGTTAGAGAGCCATCTAGAAGAATTATGGTGCTGTGTGTTACAGCTGTGTCAGGACTGTGCACAATGTGCTATGTTAACAGTAAGGGAGGGGCTGCCAGCTTAGGAAAATCACAGCTGTCCTGCTTCCAATTCCACATGCACGCAGAGGACAACCAGGCAGGATCAGGGCGGTCTGTCCTTGGAAACATTCAACTCTAGTTGCGATTAATCATGTTACTGGTTGTCAATGTATTTGTCCTCCACAAGAATGTAAACTCCACCAGAACAGGAAAAGTACTTTTTATTCTCCATCATCTTGTTCGCCACTGTCTTCTCATTGCTGTTTCACATGCTTGGCACTTAACCGGCATGCCACACGTTGTTGGTTGATTGGGTGGACACATGAGAATAAACGGGGCAGACATTAAGCCTGGCTTTCAGGAAAAATTATAAAGTTGACATCACAAGTGATAATTGGAATGTGAACCTCTTGGCAGTTATCAGAAAAGGCAAGTATTTAGGTGAAGGCGGCAGGAAGGCTTTTAAAGTTCTCCGCTGGGTTGGGGATGTAGAGGGTGGGTAGCAAGAAGGCTAGATATGCTTCAAAGAGGTTTGGGGCTTTTTAAAACTACATTTCTTTTGTAAATTAGTTCTATGGAATTATTTGGGGAATTCTGAATGACTCTAGCTTGAAGATACAGTAGTTTCTGAGTTACTTCTACGTTTTTTCTCACGGGCTCCTGACATTCCCCAAGGGACAAAACGACTGAAACTCCGACTTTTTCAAATACTGGGAAGGAAATGGTGTGAAATTGCCACAGGCAGAAACTGCCGGCACCAGGCGACAGCCCTCGGAAAGCTGGTTCCCAGGCTGGCCCAGCTCTGCGAGCCCCACCCCGCCGTGCGGCGTCCGCGGGCGTCGGGAGGGTCACGTTGCCTGTGTCCCGCGCCCTGATTGGCTGCAGCGGGGCTGCGAGGGCGTGCGCCTGCGGGCTCTCGGGTCTCCTGTGCCCTGTTGTCCGTGGGCAGAGGGGCAGGTGGCCTGCTGGGCGCTGGGGACCCTGAACCTAGTCCCCAGCCCTCGGGAAGACGATTAGCCACGGGGATCATCGGCCGGATGAGGGAGGAAGGACAGAGCCAGGGACCCAGGACTCACTGCCCCTTAAGGAGTAGACACAGACAGGTGAGTCGCGATCTTCCTCCCCGCGGGGGGTGGG